GGGGTGCGGGGGAGATAACGATATGCAATTAACATCCAGTCATCAGCTGAATAAGGTAAAACAAGGTGGGGGGGGGCATTTACAAAAATGGAATTTAGAGTTTACACTGTTTAAACAGGTGCCAAACAACATGAAAGCCATTTGTTTAACTGATGAACAGTACTCATAAACCATCTCATTTCCTAAAATGGCAAAAACAACATTACAAATGATAAAAGACTCCATTTGTGAGGTCTGAATACAAAAAAAGTGCCTACCTACATAAATTTAAAATCTACCATAAAGAACCACAGTTTATAATATATAGAATCATGTTATGTCTTAAATATTTTATCATTCTTTCTAGGGTAACAGATGAAAACTCTTTAGAAGTGATGTAACTGTCCTAAGGAAATTCTAAGCTTTTATGAGATATTTATAGATGTTTTCAAATAAGCTATTATTGTGTTATGGTCTAATTTCTTGGTGCTAATGTGCTGCACCTGCCATGAAGAATAGAGCTCAAGAGCCTGTACTAATATCATTAAGATCATTATGGAGTTAGTACATAGAAAAAATACCAAGTATTCTGAGGCTTGCAGAAGCATATATTACCAAGTGCAGAGGATAAAAACAAGAAAGGACATAATTAAAGTACCTTAAAAAAAGTACTTACAAGTACCAAGTAATCTGGTACTTGATGAACCAAAGACATTCATTGAATGTGGGCATTAATTTCAGGTTCACAGGCTTCTGCCTCCTCTTTGAGCTTAGCTTCTTGAGCAATATGTGCAAACACCTTGTACCCTTTCCCTTTGCCTGGTTCCATCTAAAGGAAGGTCAAGAACCCTGAAGGTTTAAAGGACAATCCTTGCTTTCCCCAGGCCATGAGATAAGCCAGAACAGCAGTATAGGGCCAAACACGTCATGGAGGAATTAGGGAACCAAGATAGTGGGATGGGTGGGCAAAATGAGAGCATCTTATTTGTGCTAGAGAAGCTAATAGCACCCAAGGAATTTGGGAAACTGTAACAGACAAGGGCAAAAGATTTTAATATGAACTGCTATGGGCTAAGAACTTGGACAGGCTTACTATGCATCAGAGAAAGAAGAGGGTAAAGATCAAAATTTCTTTTTGATCTGTATTTTTTTCAATCTCAGATAGTAGTCTGGAACTAGATGGCACTGCTGCTATAGAACTAATATATATATAGGCATGCATTCATACACCAATCCAAACACTTGCTCATTCATTCAATAAATATTTACTGAGCACCTACTATGCAGCAGGCACTCTTCCACGCCCTGGAAACACAGTGGTAATCTAAATAGTGAAGCCCCTTATAGTCCAGTGGAGGGAAAGAAACAATAAAAAACAACTACATGATAGGTCAGGTCAAGATGAATGCTATGAAGAAGAATCTAACTAGCCAAGGAACCGCAGCTGTATTAAAAACGGGGGTCAGGAAAGGTGTCTTTGAAGAGATGCCATGTGAGCAAAGACTTCAGGGAAGCAGACCTACCAGGCAGCTACCTGGAGAAGAGTGTCTCAGGTGAAGAAACAGCAAAAGCCCTAAGGTGGGCGGGACTGACGTGTTCCCCGAACTGCAGTGAAGCTGGTGTAGATGGAGTCAAGTGAGAAAGAGAATGTGAGGGAGGCAGCAGGGAAGTCGGATCTTGCAAGGCTTTACAGAGCACAGCAAGATTTTATTTGGGATTTTATTCTCAGATCGGAGCATGTTTTTGCCATCATGTGCCAGGCACTGTGAGTGGTTTCATGTCACATTCATGGGAAAAAAACCCAACAATACAAAACCACAAGCTCTAGGCCGTTAAGAAGCACACAGGCTAGTGATTAATTACAACAGTTCCTAGAGGTATCTTTACAGAGAACATTCTGCAGAGTTCACTAGTCAAAGACCCTGAGACTATTTAAAAAAATTGTCCAAGAAGTGACAAAACACAAAATACAATCAACCCACATGAAGACATGTTCTATCTACTGATTCAGATTATTGTTCACAGCAGTGAAACTTTTTTATGCCTCATTACAAAACATCTGCCTTAAACCCAAGAGTCACCTTAACAAACTCCCATGGTTCAGGGCATATTTCCCAGGGTCTGCCTCAAAAGACACTTCTGTCTGCCTGCGTGTGAATATGGTCCTCAGTCAATGACATTCCCCTCTTCACTACAGAGCCCAGCAAACCCGTCACGCTCAGCTGTCATAACACCTCTCAGTAACCTCTCAGTCTGAGCCCATGGTAATCTCTGCTTCCAGGGAGCCTGAGGTGAACAGGCAGACAGAAGAACGCTAAAGCCAACGTATGTTACACTCCTGTGTATACATACACAAGAGCAGCAATAAAGGAAACCTAGAGGGCCTTGAGAAGAACTGCCACACTGACTACATTCACTAGGAGCCAAGGGAAGAGAAAAAGAGCACTTGGCTCGTAATCTCTGCATTTGGTAAGATTATTAAAGAGTATGTGGGCCTATGAGGATACATCAGGAGTCAAGGCTACCCTGAGGAGTAGAGTGTTGTTTAGAAAAAAAGATTCAGGATTTATTTGGGGAATACATGCAACTCCAAGTATACAAAATAGCACCAGAATCTCCCCACAAGCAGTACAAATGGCTGATTTCATGGTACTTCAAATAAAAGTAAAATGGACAAAGAGCATTAAATTTGAAGTGAAAAGACTGAAAAAACAAAGAGCTACTGGGAGAAAGGAATACTTAAGCCTACAAACCAGGGGCATTGCCAATTTAGAATACCTGCAAGATAAAGAAAGGTGGCCAGCAAATGCTTGTGACAGCGTTTCTACCTAGTCTGGGTGCAAAGCTGCGGATGAGGGGGGAGAGTTTTCTAACAGCATAGAAACTAAAAGCATTTTTTTTTTAAACACATAAACATTAAGTGTTAAAAAGGTCATGCTGACAGAGAAACTGTAAATCCATGTTGAAATCTGCTTAGTATTTTGAATGGCATCTAATATCTAAAAAGATAGATATTTACCACTGTGGAAAAGCAGAAACTCAGTACCTGAGGTGAAAGATTTATCAGAGGGGGACTGAGGCACTGCTCCAGCTCGGTACTTGGGCGTGATCCTCATGGAAATAGAAGGGACATAAGACTAAAGAGGTCTGCCAGAGCCTGTGGGACAAGGGCTGGATTCCTCACACCCAGCCCAGCAAAGAAGATATTTGTAGAATGACTTTCTGAAGCAGATAAATAACATGGCCACTTATTCAGAGGCTGCCACGGATTTACTAATGTTAATGAATTGGCTCTTTCGGTTTGTCTCCTTTTGCTACGTGTTTATGTTGGGGATTTATGGAACTATGTCACTGAGGGCTAGGAAGTAATTTTTATCTCATTGGCTGCGACAAATAGGACATGATATAAATGAGAAATCAGAGTGGGTAAGCTAAGGTTAGCAGGAATTCTGCCAGTACTGGGACTGGAACCGTGACAACGGCTCATTATTAGGAAAGAACTGGAGTTTGTGTTTCAGGGAATGAATCTGGACAGTCATTAATGAACTGACAGACTTTATAAACTGTTTCTTACAGACCCAATTCTCTCAGTTTATATTGCTTATTTATATGGTTATGGGGGGGGAGAGCAATTTGTTAGGGAACTTGCATTAAGAATATGGCTGGTTAAGTGAGTATTTCTCAATAGTGTAACATTCAATTTTAAGAAATGTAAAAATACCTTCTTATTTCCCTACCCTGAGAATAACTGTATATCTGCATTACTATGATTCCTATATTCCTACAAAGATGCCCTGATATAATCTTAGTTTTTGAAAATCTGAATTAACCATAGCTATTTTCTAAACTAAGAAAAAAAAAAACCTTTCCAATTATAAAGGTATATTAAGATGCTATATCAGTTAATGTTGTTTTCAAACTACACTTGCCTCTCTGGGAATTTTGAGATACTCTTCTACCCTTTAGCTCTCTGTCAGCCAAACCCAAGAGCTACTTCTCCAGAATGGGACCATTTCCAAAAACCAATCTGCTAGGTAATCCATTTGTAAAATTGCTTTACTACAGCAATGATATAAGCAATGAACAGTCTTTCCTGTAAGCTCAGCCTCCCTATCTTGAATTATGCCCTGTCCCAGCCCCAGATACAGTCAGAATAAAACCTTAAACTGGCTTAGGAGAATTTCTATCAACTGTTTGTCTACCAAAGGTAGAGGCAGAGATAGGAAAGAATAAAAAATTTGAGAAAATTCTTAAAATCTCCATTAGCCTATTGTTCTGTAATTTGACTTCTGGTAAGCTGACCTGAACTGAATAATCCTTGCTTTAAACTGTAAGCTTAATTTTAAGTAATCGGTATAAAGTAAATGAGACAGCTGCCCTCAAAATGGGTAAACTAGGAAACCAGAGAAAATTATGATGACTGATAAACTTTCAATGAGATATTATAAAAATAGATATAAATGAAAAGCAAATAAGGAGAGAATGATGAAATACCTGAAATATATGAAAACTTATTTTCGTAGGAGTTCAAGTAAGATAAAAATACTAAAAATAAGATTACTTTTTGCCTATTGAAGGGACAAAACTATAGAAGACTAGTCTTTCCAGTGTTGGCATATCTATAGAAAATGGTTAGTGTTGAAAATGTTGGTTAGAACTACAAATTATGTCCTTTTGAGAGAGAATTTGGCCAACATCTCTCCAAATTTAAAATGTACATACAATCTTAACAAATAATTTCATTTCTAGAATTCTACCTTATAGAAACACACAAATGCAAAAGGTTAGATGCACAAGACTATTAAGTATTTATACGTAATGGGGAAAAGTAGAGACCACCAAAATAGTCATCACTAAAGGACTTAACAAAAAATTAATGCCATTCAGACTACAGAATGTTAGAGATGTTAAAAAATGAGGCAATGTATTTATAGACAGGATGTCTGAAATAGTTGCATAAAAAAGGTAAGTTGTGGAATATATTTAGTTATTCCACCTAAAAAAACCTAATTCTCCCTACAGAGGTTAAAACAAATACAAATCAAACCACTTATGGCAACTACTCATTTTCACATGCCCAGAGGAGGAGTATTCACTTTTTTACGTTATACAATTTTATATTCTTTGTATTGTGTGTGTGTGTGTGTGTGTGTGTTACACACACATACAAACACATCTGGTCGTCTCAAGTAAAAGCAAAGTTAGCACTTAACTCTGTGAAGAAAGAATGGTTTTTTCAATAAATGGTGCTGGGTTAGTTAGAGATCCATACTGAAGATAATGAATCTTGACCCATATGTCATACCACTTGTAAAAACAGTTAGAGATCCATACTGAAGATAATGAATCTTGACCCATATGTCATACCACTTGTAAAAACAAATTTGAGACAGAAAATACATCTAAATTTGTAAACATTATAGCTGAGTATCTTGATGACCGTGGGGGTAGGCCAAGATTTCATAAACAAGATACAAAAAGCTCTAAGTTAGGAAAAAAATATGTAAACTAGACATTAAAATTAAGGATTTCTATTCATCAAAAATCACCATTAAAATAGTGAAAAAGCAATCCACAGAGAAGGTTTGGCAATAAAGGATCTGAGAAAAGACTCATATAACAAAAGAAAAGTGAGTGAGAAACTTGAATAGGTATGTCAAAAGATTATAATCAAATAGTCAATTAATATATGAAATGGTGCTCCAATTTCATTAGTCATTACAGAATTGAAAATAAAAACCATAATATGATACCTCTGAACACTCACCAGAATAGCTAACTTTAAAAGGAAAGTAAAATAGCAGGTATTGGTGAGAATGTAGAATAACTTGAACGCTCATATATATGCTGGTGGGAAGGCAAAATGGTACAACCACTTTGGAAAACTGAAAGTAGCTACAAAGCTTAACGCATCAAAAATTTATATTCCTAGGTTTATATCCACAATGAAAAAGCATAAATATACACTCACCAAAAGGCATGTGCATGTGTTTGCTCAGCACATGTATGGTATTTGAAAGAGCACAAAACTAAAAATACCCAAATATCCATTAATCCCAGAAAGGTTAAATATACCTTAATTTAACCATACCATATAATACTACCTATTAATGAGTTAGTGAACTACAGTTTTTGTAACAACAGTGTCTCAAGAATACATAATACTAAACACACAAAAAATATATAATTTTATTTTTTATCATTCAAAAGCAGGTCAAACTAAGACATGGTGCTTTTAAGTAAGAATAGACACTTACAGAATGAGGGGCTGAGCAGGGCCTGGAAAGGGGCTCTTGGATGCACACAACCTTGATCTGGATGTTGAGTACACGCTCATATTCACTTTGTGAAAATTCCCTGAACCATATATTTAAGATATGTGCACTTTTCAATATTGCTGTTATACTTCAATCAAAGGCTTACTTTATAAAAATAAAAGGCAATACCAAAGAATGTTTGAAAAGCACATTCATTCTCTTTAGTAACAAAATACAGAACTTTTTAACTAAGGAACTATTATGACTAATTAAATAGTTAGTGAACAGGTACCTACTAAGTCCCAGGTAGTAATGTTAAGAATGATACAAGAAGATAGACACTGTTTACTCCTTAGTCCCATGGGAAACAGTTGAGAAATTTAAAAAGGAAGAAGAAAAGTGCAAAGAAGGGAAGGAGAGAGGGTCCAAAATGTGAAGACTAATAATTCATTTTTCATGGCAGCATGAACTAATGCAATTCTTTTGCAAGAAATTTGGCACTACATACCATGATCTTTAAAAATATTTGCTCAATGACTTATTAAAAATTATGATGCAAATCACATATTACTATGATGACAACTATGTAAAAAAATGCTTCTGCAAAGAAAAAATGAAAATATGTATGAAAATGTCTTCTTCATTTTGATTCACCATGTTCTAAAAGATCTTTAAGGAAGCATATTATAAAAAACAAATCAACCACAATTTGCCACTCAATTCCAAAATGCATTTTCTACATTAAGTAGTTTTCTGTATCCTTCAGAACATATAGTTTCCACAACTATGTAATATGCGTATTTACAAAGAGAAATCTAATTAGAAAATAAGTCCAATCCTGTTAAAAAATAACTCAACAGACCATTTTCTTTATGACAACCTAAATGCTATCCTGACATAGTATCTAAGAAACACTTTGTGAGAACTGAAATACCTGACATAAGATTTTCCTCTAAGATGACTTTAAAACTGACTACTTTCTATTAGATATTTGTCTGGTCATAAAATACCTAGAGGCAGACAGATACAGAAAGGAAAGGCTTTTCTACAAGCTCACTCTAACACCACTTTCTAATAAGTTTACTGCTGAAGCTCCATTATAAAATCAAAAACGCATTCACTTGAAAAAGAAAGGACTTCTCAACAACATGGATGGAGCTAGAGGGTATTATGTTCAGTGAAATAAGCCAGGCAGAGAAATACAAGTACCAAATGATTTCCCTCATTTGTGGACTATAACAATGAAGCAAAACTGAAGGAACAAAACAGCAGCAGACTCACAGATTTCAAGAAGGGACTAGTGGTTACCAAAGGGAAGGGGCTGGGGAGGGTGGTGGAGAGGGAGGGAGAAGAGGATTAAGGGGTATTATGATTAGTACACATGGTGTGGGGGGGATCATGGGGAAGACAGTGTAGCACAGAGAGGACAAGTGGTGACTCTGTGGCATCTTACTACACTGATGGACAGTGACTTCAATGGGGTATGGGGGGGACTTGACAATATGGGTGACTGTAGTAACCACAACGTTTTTCATGTGAAACCTTCATAAGAATGTATATCAATGATACCTTAATGAAAAAAAAGAAATTAAGAAAGAAACTAGGAACTAAAAAAAAAAAGACTTCTCAATAAAATAAAACTAGATGTACAAAGGAAAAAAGCCTCTGAATGAATTTTCCAAACAAAATAAACATTAAGAATACACGAAAATATGAGTAATGCTATTTTAAAATAAAAATAAGCCATTTTGACTAAGTGTCTGGACTGAGGAAAGGATATCAAGGACAAAATCTTGAGGAAAATCTAAACTAGAATGAGTAAAAGACAAGAGACAAAAGCCACAAAGGACAAAATTAGATTGTCAGGAGAAAATAGAGAGTTCAGCACACAGAGCTGCTGCCATATTAGCGTGAAGATTAACATGGAAGCGTGTCCCCTGGATTTGGTCTGGGGAGGCTGGCTTTGGTATCAGCAGCTGCAGCAGGGCAGGGACAGGGCTAGAAGAGTGGGTGGCTGGAGCAAAGCTAGGCTGTGAATGGACCAGATTCTGGAACCCAAAGGAGACATCAGGGAGGCAAGGGGACACATCTGCCCCAAGAGGACAAGAGGTGTGAGGAGAAGAGCATGAACAAGGGCTGAATTTCTGAAATGCTGGTATGTAGACAATGGGCAGAAAGCTTACATGCTGAAAAGCTTCCCCAGCTAAAAACATGGATTTACCATAGCAGCTCAGTTTTTTTCTCCAGTATCAATGAGTGGCCCATATATAAAGGAAGCAAAGGCAAATGGGTGAATTGACATTTTATGGAAGGTGGTGATGAGCACAAGGGGCTGAAGCCACTAGAGCTGAAAGGTGTCAGTCAGAGCATGGACTTAAGCAAGAAGCAAAGAAAGGTAGCTATACAACAAGAAGCAAAGGGAAGATTCAAGAAGAAGCAAAGGAAAAGGGAGTGAGAGGCTGAAAGTATAGAAGCATGTCCCTGGAAAGAGGGAGACTGGAATGAAATTCTACAGATGAATGCATTTAGGGTGGTGAAGAGTTTGTAAACAAAAAGGCATCCAAAGATTTCATTAAAAACCCAACCATTTTTAAAACACTAAATAATGCCTTATCTCATAGCTAGACTCTTGAAAAAAATTTTAAAACTTCTAAATATTGCTTTAAAAAACATAAAAGTTATATATTTACTTATACATTTTAATTTAGCAAGAGAATAATTTTTTTACTGTAAAATGAATAAAAGTATGTCAGAAAAATAAGAAAAACCACCTATAATACCACTAGCTTAATAGAACTATCACTGCGATATTTTAGCATAGCTATAATCACGTTGGATAGAATATTTTATACTAATTGTTTTCCAGTTAACTGTATGTGTATTTTAAGCTACATGAATTTTTCTGTAGTAACTTCAACCCTTGCATGATATTTTATCAAGTAGATTTTCAAAGCTTATAAGTCAATTCTCCCATTGCCCATCTAATTTGGGGCTATCATAAATTATGCAGGGGTATAAAACAGGGTGTATAATTGTACATTTTCATGTCTGACTGAGAAGTCGATAATTAACAGTGTCTGGGAATGGTGTCCCTAGAGATTGAAAGAGGAATGGCAGGCTTATTTTCAGATGCACTATCACACCAGGTCACTGAAACCCACAAGATTTACCTGGAAGAAATCTTACAAAACGTGGCATAAAATGAAATCTTGGGCAGCAGGGAGGACTGTCTTCAAACAGAGGACCTGCAGCAAACAAGTGAAAAGGAAAGAAAAACTAAATATAACAACTGTAGAAAACAAACACTGCAACTTAATTCCTAAGATTTATGATAACTACAAAAAATACCACCACAAGTAGGCATGTAAAAAACACCATCCCCTCTTCTTCTGAGTGGTGAGATCAATCATGTGGTAACGACCACAAACATCTGATGAGGATTGCAGTGAAGAGACTACCCAAAATAAAGAGGATGAGAGCTATGTACAGTAAAGAGTATATTCAGTTAAGCCATTTTTGGAAATTCAAAAAGATTTTTCTTTCAAGTAAACAACTGCATGATATAATATGCTTGTGTTTTAACTCCTTTCCATTTTAATCAATATGACTGGGAAAAAAAGAAATACTATTAAAAACTTGGCTTGAAAAGCCATTCATCAGTACAGTTTTAAAAATAAATAAGTAAAAATCTGCAGGAATTATCCAAGAACCAAGTGTCAAGTTTGGAAGTAAATTAGCTCACAGCCTGTGTGTGTTCTGAGGGCTAACCAAAGTCCTGTTTTAATAAACTGTCATCTTAGAAGAAGTTTACTATAGTAAAGTTCAATAGATTTAAAAAATATTAACTAATGAGATTTTCCCTAACACTCATAAACCAAGTATTTACTCATAACAACTAACCATCTTCTTAGGTATGAGTTAGGTAATGGATAATAGTAATCTTAGATAATGGGTACCATCAAATTCTATTATGTAAAAACAACTCATGTTAAACAATAGCAAGCATTCCTATAACTAACACAATTTTCCTTGGATATTTCAGAAATTAGAATTTCACCTTCTGTCAAGGTTTTCACATATACCACAATATTTTTCTACAAGCATTAACACTTTCCTATTACTTACCTTTAAGATTCCAGTCATACAATTCCAAAATATCTCTGAATAGGAATAATGAAAAGAGTTCAAGTCCTTTCACACAAAAATTCTGAAAATGAAACCCAAATCAAATTAATGTAGAACTGCAAATATACATTAACTGAAGGTTCAACTTGTCCTAGTCAAGTATCTTAAATAAAAGTGTCTGTTGAAACTATATTAAAACCATGTAATTTCCTAAAAAGCTTGGCAACCATCCTACAATACCTCAATGGCTTGAGACATAAATGAAGTAGGCAATAATGCTATTAGGATTCCTAAGAAAATGTCAACTTAGACCCTCCCAAGGTACAAATAAAATTATGTGAAATTCAAAAATTAAAGTCTTCTTTACATCATATTTTTCTAACCCAATTATGAAATGTATCAGAATCTCCTGGGGACCTATTGTTAATTCAAATTCCACACACACCCTGGTAGGCTGATAGGTGTGTCCCTCCTACCCCAACCCCACCCCTATTACTCCCACCCCACAAACACACCCAGAATCACGATTACAGAGTTACCATCAAAAGAGATCCCCTGTACCAAAAAAGTTCAAAACTTCTTAATGAAGGCAAATAAAAGGCTAATAAAAACCACAAAACTTTGTAACAAAATTTCTCCTGTAAACAAGTTTAACAGATGATATATTTGCAAGTGGGACTTGTCTCATAATTCTTCCTCCTACTTGTTTTGCTCAGGGTTCATAAATCAGTGTGTGAGATCTCGCCAGAAGTCATAAGCTTTTATAAAAGCAAATGAAGGCTTATGACCTTAAAAACCAAAACAAAGCCAAAAACCCTTCTAAGCTGCAGAATGAAGGGGTGGCTCTTTCTCTTTAATTCTTTTTAAAAGACAGGTAGGATTACCAGGTCTTGCTCAGAGTGAAATAGGTGCAATCTGAGCACTGTGTGTCATGCTCATCAATTCCCTTTTGGTGCTTCACTGCCCATGACAGAGCTGTACTGCTAAACAAGGTTTGCAAGAAGAGCCACGGGCTCAGGAAATCGACCCCGACTCCAACACGATGTTAAGCCCACAAGCTTGTTTGCTGTCTAGTTGTTATTTCTTAGTGTGATTTGTTGACACCACTAAATTCAACATCAGGCAATGAATCATTCTGAGATTCACATTAATCTTGCTTTGGAATTTTAAACCTCTTGCATGTATTTAGATAAATCTGCTGCTGAGCATCCACAATGAAAAACAATTAGGGTGAAATATGTAAATATATGGGAAGAAAAATGAACCAAGCATTGATCTTGTCATTGGAGATAATGAATAAGATTATTCCAGCACTATCAGATTCAGTTTCACGGTTCTAATTTTCCCTCTGATAATGACCAGCAACCAAAATGTCCCCTAACCAAAACAAACTAGAAACAGATGTAAAGTTACCATCAGTAGGTGCAACACGAAGAGAAATGGGTTCAAAAATAGGTCAACCAGGCTAAAAAAATAACCTGAATTTTAACTTTGTTCCTAGAGCTACATCTCACTGACCCTTTCAACAGTGAACACCATACATTAGGGTATTCCTGTAGCAAAAAGCCAGAGCTGGCCAAGTTTAGTGCTTTAATGACGTAAGTATAGAATAAACAAAAGAGCAAATGACATCAAGCTGTTAAATAATCTTCTCCCTTACCTCAGGCATCATCTCTTCAATGAAATGAATGGTGTAGTCAATGTTGAACCTAATTACTTTACACAGTGGAATCTGAAATAACAAAAACAAGAGGTTGGGTTCTGCAATACCTTCCTGCAGGCTCACGCGGTACACATGTTAGCTACCAGACCCCAGAAGGCCATGAACCAAATGAGGAAGTTTCACCCTAATCTAAGCTGCTAACAATATTGGAAGTGAAGCTTGACCACAACTGCTCAATTTTATTGGCAAGAACGCAGATGACCAGGCTTTTACAGGAAATCTGCATAATGTAGGTACTTTATTAACTTTATTAGCAGCAGCAACTCAAACATGACAAGGACCCATTAAAACCAAACATAGCACCCCTAAAGAATTAATAAAACCACAATTAAATACTTCTTTTTCTCAGGTTCTTAAGATCTTTCAGAATCCTCGGCTCTTCAGGCAGATCAAGGATAGCAGATTGCCAAGTCATCACTTAGGGATTTGTAAGTCATTGAAGACACATGCCTCATGCTGTCTATCTGGCTCTGGAGCAAAAGCAATCATGGCAGTAAAAATAGTTAACAGCTGACACTTACTGAGCCAGACACTGTTGTACTGCTTCACACACTGTCACTCACATAACCATTCCTATGAGATAGGTACAACTACTATCCAGTGGAGGAGGCTTAAGGCAGAATCATTCAATACCCTCACTGAAGGTAAGAGGTAGCTGGTGGCTTAGAAAATCATTTCTAGACAATTACTAACTCTATAACAATTTACTACGCTGACAGACTGTGACCACAATAAAGGGGGTGAAGACTTGATAATATGGGTGAACGCTGAAACCACTGTGTTGTTTATGTTGAAACCATCATAAGACTGTATATAAACAATATTATATAAAACGTAAATTAATAAAGGCTTAAAAGGATGTCTAAAATAAAAAGAAAAAAATTCTCTAGACCCCAGGTCAAAGCCACCAGAGTATGCATCTTCCATTACCTGTTCTAATACTCAGGGTTTCTGTGAAAATGAAGGAAGGCTCAGGTAACTCATTTTACCAATGTATCATCTGTCTTTTACCAATGTATCATCAGACACCAGCCTAGTGCCTAGTTATAATAGGTTTCCTGTAAGTATATTTTTACATGAATGAAGGAATGAGAAAGGGAGAGTGTGAGGTTACTGCAGTGGTGTGGTTGACTAGCTAGGAAAAATAACAGACTCAGAAGCCCTAGAGTCATGTTAAATAGGCTTTTCTGACAACTTAATCTGTCGATAAGTTGATTTTATATAAATGTAATTGTTTTTACAAACCATAGCAATCAGAAAGAAACAAGTTTTAATTCTAACAGCAAAAGGAATGGTAAGAAAAACACAGTCTTATGATGCCATCTACTGGATATCTTTTTGGGCAGAAATGAAATTTAGTTCTTAGATGCTTTTTCATTTTTTTGAAATATAGTGGCTAATTTGAGCAAAAGTCATAATTAACTTTAATTAAGAGATATATTTTCACTTTCTCGTGGTACTAAGATCTAAACCAACTGAAACAACATGCTGAGGCCACTATCATTTTTAAGTTCTGTATTCCTATAAACATTTAAAAACATTTGAGAGTTACAAGTTTGTGCATTATATTCATATTTTTAAATAACTATTCTTTGTTGACTATGTTAGTTCCATAGTTACTCTAAAACACCCCATGGCCCTTACCTTTTTTAAAAGGGAAGGATCTAAGAAGAAGAAAGGCATATAAACAAGTGTACATAGAATATAATGTATACAAAGTAACTTTTTAAGTATAATTGAAAAACAAATAAGCAAGCAAAAAGGTCGGAAGTGCAAAAAACCAAAGAGGAAGTAATACTGTGGTTGAGTCTTCAAAACTGGCGAGGGATTTTCCAGGTCATCCAGAAAAATTAAGTTGGGGAAGAACAGGTGTTTAGGTTCTAGCAAGTCAGAGAAAAGAGAGCTGGGAGAAAAAAAACATGAGAGAAGCAAAGTGAATCCAGACAGAAGTATGAACTATGCGTGTTACGCAGACCTTAGAAATCAGGTTGAGGATTCAGGGCCTGTCTTTACAGCAACAACTGGGTAGTTCTTTAAGAGAGAGCCTATCATAGTTTACATTCTGGAGGGACTGCTATGGAAACAGTGTGGGAATGGCTTAAAGGAGAGCGAGGCAGGAGACCAGAACACGAGACTGAAGTCTAATTCCACAGTCCAGGAGCCGAATAAAGAGGAGATTGGAAAGACAGGAAAATTTTTAAACATAGAAAATGTTACTAAATCACACAGTGACAACTCTAATGCAGAAGTGAGAAAGAAGATCATTTCTAGGTTTTTGGCCTAGGTAACTAGAGAGATCATGATGCGATTAACTCAAGAAATTCATCCAGTGTCCCCTGAGTACCTCCAATTCAATACGCAGGGAAGATGACAAGTTCAGTTTCACATAGGTTGAAGGAACACAAGGTGGGTATGTCCAATAGGCAATCTGAAATGAGTGTGTGAGCACAGAGCCATATATCACAGCTATAAGTATCAGTTTGATGGGGATCAGAATATGCATGGAAAGAAAAACATGGGTGAGATTGTTACTCAGGGAGAGAGTATCCAGGAGAGAAAAGGACCAAGCCCTCGGGCATAGCCAAGAGGCAAGCAGAGAAAGGGCTGTAGTATAAACTTTATTCCTTCTACAATGTGCATAAGCAACTCTGCTGGATGACTTATGCCAGTACAGTTCTCTCCTCAAACCATTTCAAACACAATCTAAGAAAGAGGAGTAAGTAATACGAAATACATACTTTTTCTTTTGTGATCTCATCCATACAACTAGAGCCCTTCTGACACACACAAATTTGGAAAGATAGTATGTCCTTTTCTACTTAAACTTTCATCTCTAAGACTCAAAGAAAACGTGTCATTTTCCTATATAATGTGAGCTCAATTGACCAAACCATATAAATGCCTACTTACATTTCTCAAAACATGTTTGAATACTAACTGACACTAATTCTTACCTCATCCTACCAAAGACAAACAAAAAAACCCTTCCTGAACTTCTATGCTAATTCTACTTAATTTCCAGGCATGGGGCAGTGAGGCCACTGGAAATGGAAGGCCAACTGAGGCAGGAGGGAAATGATCATGGGATTCTCTTGTGCATTTTAGGACAGGATAAGATATGATGCACCCAAAACATAACTTTGTAACTTTAGTTATGTTGTCAAAGTCCTTAATAACACCTGGTATTATAAGTGATAGCAAATGTACTACATAAAAGGATGAAATTCTCCTGGAATGCTCTCTACTTAGCCAAAACAAGGGTTTCAATCCACTTCAAATCAAGACCTTAAAAGAATTTGCCAGAACTAGACTTGCTTGATACTCTAACATTACCATCCTTTGCATGCCCTTCTTGTGATGCACTTTCTCTAGCAAGAGAATGAATCAGATCAGTGAAGTGATTTAATAATTCTTTTTCTTGGGAGGCTTTTTTAAATTCAAGAGGCCTTTGATGGATCTAATTCCTATGAACTGTACAACACTCAGCTTAAAATTCCATTTATTTTATCAACATTTCTAACATAAATGATGGGGCTTATCTTCTCATTACAGTTAAGTCCTCAAATTTTGAGAACTTTAATATTTATATAAAATAGATGCTGAAGTCAGGAATTTTTCATTCCTATCTTTTGTTAACAACAGTAACAACTGTAGTAACAATTACAATTAATTCAGCTCTCAGTGCCAAACCTTGTTCTAAGGGACTTTAATAATACAAAGCTCAAAGAATCACTCATCCAAGGTCACATAAATATTAAGAATTAGTTTTAAGAAAAGAGAATTAGAAGGTCCACACCCAAGTGTGTCTGACATCATACCCAAAATAAGTGCTAATATGTATTATATTCCAATCATGAAAAATATTTTCATGCATCATGTCATTCATTTTTTGCAAAAGATGGTAAAATTGCTACAACTAATAACTCTCTTATAGGTGATAAAATCAAGGCTTATAAAGACTGAAATGTCAATCATATGGTTAATGTTTAAACCTTGGTCTCACTGTAGCCACACTGTTTTCTTTCTTCAATTAAGGTGATCCTAAATGTTAAAATGAGGTCTATATTAGTTCTACAGAATTAAGAGATTAGATAGATAATTTTAAATATTTTCATGTAACTGTGTTATCTGTATTTGCAAGCCCTCTGAGGAAAAAAAGAGACATGCATTATGTTGAGGGGAGCTGGACTAGATGGCTTCTAAAGGCCTTTCCAACTCTTTAAGACAATGAGATTTGCTATAACAAAAGGTTTAAGTGTCTCCCTGAGACATGAAGAAAAAAAAAAGGGCAAAGAAACCATCAAAATTCAAAAGCCTCTTAGTGCCCTTCATAAAGATTATTTAAGAATGGTCCTATGTAAAATTTTATAACTATGTATGGTGATGGATATTGACTAGACTCCCTGTGGTGATTATTTCACAATTTACACAAATATTGAATCATTATATAATATTGTACATGCTTCAAACTAATGTAATATTGTTTATGTCAATTATACCTGAACTAAACAAAAAAGAATGGACCAATATTCCAATATTACACCTTTTTCTGTATTATGGTCTACTCTGGAGGTGGATGTTATATGAAAAATCAAATGATTTTATTTTTACATTTAAAATGTAATCATCTTCTCAAAGAAAATTCTCTAGGATAAATACACTGTAGAATAAAGAAAATTCCAGTAAGAAATGATTTCTTCCAAATTAGTATCAGTACTATAGAATCATGTCTCTTTAGAAAAAAAAGAAGAATCACAGAAAGGAACATGGTCAGGAAAAGGTTTTCCTGTATTCTTTATTCTCCAGAGGCACAGAATCTCATAGTTTAAGTAAACAGTACTAGAATCAGTCTCAAACTACAGATGTAATTCCTTATAACCAAACCAGAAAGGATTAAAGAACATTCTATTTTGATGGAGACAGACCACAGCTGTAATTCAGTAAGTTCTATGGCAGGCAGTGTCTAGACTGGGTAAAGTATACTGTTATACTCCTTTCAGAGCTGCCAGCAAATTCTACTCTACATGCAATTGGAATACAGAATAAGTAAGACAAATCCCAAGATGCCAGCTCTGAGACAGAAAGATTTTCACTTACAGATACAGAACTTTCATTTGAACCAATTACCAACAAAGTAGCCTTAATACCTGTATATAAACATCATAGCTCTAAATGTCAGGCAGAGTCTTTTAAAGAAGACATATTCTTGGGGTTCAAAAGCAGAAAACTGTATGAAATTAATTCAGGATGCAGACATCCTGAACAAGCTCTATTTCTTTTTCTATTGCCCAGAAACTAAATAATGGCCTCTCCTTAAAACTTTCCAACTTTCTTTTGAAGGACACCTAACCCAAAATAGCTTGACACATTACTCCACAGTTTATCCTTCTTTTTCAATCTTTCACACTTTCAAA